TATAATTAACACTTGAATTTTATAAATTTATTTTATAATTTGAATTATTTATGTAAGAATGAAAATGTAATAAAAATGACAGTGGTTTTAGTAAGTAGAATCAGAAAAAAGCATTTTCTTGTAATTCTTTAAAATATATGTACTGACCACATGCTTTCATGCCAGGATTATTTTCTGTCAGGAATTATGTCAAAAGTATAGAAAAATTTAGAATTATTATCAATAGCAAATATGCAAATGAATTGCTAAATACATTTTTATAGTGATATGTTGTGCCTAAAGACTCCAAAACCAGAAGCTTTGTGTTTTATATGTTTTGTGAAAATGTGAAAAATTCAGTGAGATGCCACTTAACAGTATTATCAATTTTTCAAGGACAACAATGTGGTATCTTACCTCTTTTCTTAAGGGATCCACTAAAGCAATAATAAAAGGAAATTTATTAATCAGTTCCACATACATGTCAACCATTTCATCAGGACTTTTGAATGTTCCAGTGAGTATTTCATATTTTCCTTTAACCTAGAAAGTAAAATAAAACCCATAAAAGATAAGGAAGGTAATACTTCAAACCCAGAGTACTAGCACAAGCACACAGATCTGGTGACAGTAGTATCTCTATTAAGGTGGTGGACTGTGAGTTCTTCAATAAACACACATTCACTTGTCTGCTGTACTCTGAGTGGTCAGCACATTGTTGTAGAAAACTCTGCCTAAACTAACAGTGGGCTCATGCCAAAGTCTCTAAAAGATGCCACTCTCAAAAGAAGGGAGATCTATTTCAGCATTTTCTAGGCAACACTGCTGGTTCTATGCTACTTTATGATAAAGTTAGCAATATTTGACATTTTTATTGAACCTTGCATGAAAAATCTCACCTTTCACTTCCAAAAAGAGTTAATTTTTTTGTCCTCATTTTCATAAAGAAAATATTGCTATGGGATAAATATTGCTATGCTCTTTCCCCTTTCAAAAAAAAGACTAGTTTAAAAACAGTCTCATCACTATGGGAAGCACAAACTGCAGCACAGGAGGATTACTGAGTGCACGTTGTCAGACTATGCCAGAACATCCACTGCTTTGGTAACAGAAAGTTATGGAATTACTGGTAAGTCGTTGGTTAAGATTTTGCTCATCCTGGTGTAGGATACCGATATCAGGAATTGTCAGGAGCGCAACTGCTTACACAAAAGATATTAATAATGGAAAGTTTGTCAGTACAGTACACCCAAACCCACAAAATCTCCTGAGGTATTCAATGGAATAGGATGTTTCTTTCTCTGCTTAGAGAGAAACCTGATTGGTCATCGAACAGGGGCAAGAACTTTAAGACTTTGGCTGGAGATAAATAAAGTTTTTCATATTAAAATCTTGAAAAATAAGAATTAAAAAATGAGTGTTGATACACAATGAGATGAATGTTAGTGGGTACACGCACATACCATAGTAAAAATACACGGACAGGTCACGTTAGTTTGAAAAAAACAACAGATGTAGTGTAATAGAATGGAGAAAGAAGGATCTAGTGGAATTAGAGAAGTAGACTTGTGTAAATAATTTCTTGTTCTTCACCCATGAAAGCAAGGTGGGTAGAAGATAATTATTTCATTTATACCTTGTGGCGAAATGAAGAAAACCAGAACCCCAAGATATGTCGCTTAATACTTTAACTCAAAATTGTCTGAGATGTAACGTCCAATGATGCTGGTTCGTTACACAGAGCATGTAGCAGGTGTTTGCCCAGCAAACCAGCTTGCTGCATTCGACACACGCTGATCCGAAAAATCTTATTAAACAAATAGAGAAAAGGAGTAAAGCTGGCTTTTACTCCTTAAATGCAGGCAGGCCTGTCCCATTGAATGATTAAAGTTAAATCATGAAAGTCTCAGAGATGCCTGCAGGCAGGACACAAGCTGTACTGGGGTCCGCCCAGGGCCACCGAGCCTTATCCCACGCGAGGTGCTCCACCAGCACGCTGGTACAGCTGCGGAGGAGCAACACCTGTGTTCCCACTGCCCCCGCTGCTTCGAGCTACCAGGGGGATGTCTGCACGTCTCGTCCCCTTGCACTCACGATCAAATAACATATCTACTAAGCTTGTAGGACTGATTCGACCGTAATTTATAAACACAGAGACAATTCTTTTGGTTTGCTTGATTGCTACCTCAAAAAATAGAGTTAGAGCTTCTAGATGAGTTTGCAATGTGATAATGAATAATGCTAACAAATAGCTACATTCCTTTTAAAACCCAACAAAATAGATATTGAAAATAACTTACGTAATCCATCAATTCGTGAGCAGCACAATTTATTGCTAAATACAGATCTGTTCCTAGCTTCAGACCTACATTGTTGCAAGCTGTTTGCATGAGCAGTAGCAGTTGTTCCAGACTATCGCATCCTGTTATTAGGCAACCTAAGTGTGATATTCTTTTTAAGGCTCGCGGCTGAAAGTAAAACAAAAATAATCACGTTATTTGCACACATGTATATACATAATACTTACATATATGTTTTCACGGTCATTTCAGTCTGCATTCAGCCATCAAAATACAAATCTGTTCTCAGAAATTGCATTAGCAACTTTAAGGACAATTCTCTATGAACCAGGAGTAACCAGGTGCTAATGAGTAGAGAGATAATAGTCCTTGGAAATACATCTAGTCATGTAGTTCTCGTTCTTGTATGGTCAGTACTGGTTTACAAAAAGATTTTAAAGGCACTTAACAATCACTGAGTTGTCATGGGTGCTATGTAGAAGTTTCCAGTGCTGTGGACCATCCCTTTACCACAAAAACATATTCTCCACTTTTAAACAGCTTTTACTCATTTATCCTCAACTACAGCTTTGATATTGCCTCCATGGAGAGTACAAGAAACACTGGAATCTTCCAAGACTTCTTGCTCCAAGAAGGAGCAAATTTCATAGAGGGGCAATACCTCTAGCATGGCTGTATGGAGTTGTCTGCTTCAGGAACAGTGCTCCTGGACACGAGCCCCAAGCAGAGTTGCACTGAGCAAATACTTCGCGTGCCCTTCTGTTCTCAGTTTTTTTGTAGGTTTCTCAAACTCCGATTTTTAACTTTAAAGTCTGTGAATTTTTGATTATAAAGAATGACACTAAATTGCCCAGAAAGCAGCAGGATATAATCCTGATTTAGACTGGAGAAGTCAATTGGAAAGCATCAGTTTTGACAAGAGTTAGAGAACTAACCACAGCAGACAAAACACAGGCTCAGCTACAGAGAATATGTAAATATTCCTTCACATAAAAAATTAGGAAGAAAACGTAGGTCAAATTGTTATGAGATTATTTTGTAATCTCTGCAAGGAGAGACAATCTATTTAACTTGTTGCTTTTGGAACACTAAGCTGCAGCAACAGACAGCAAGAAATGCTGCAGTCTTCCTGCATTTAATGTGATATAGAGGTTAAGTCTGCATTTTCATGTGATTTTCAAGGCACCCATACGTTGTGCCTTGTTACATTCTATTAAAAGCATTGTTTATCCTTATAAAAACATTCTTTTTCCCCCCTAAAAAGTTCAAACTTATCAGTTTAAAATTTAGTCTCACTACTATCTCCTTTAGTTTTTTCCTACTGAAATAAATGGATTTTTTTCAGAGAAGCTAATGCATTGTTTCCTTGTGCATATCTTAAGGAAATATTTTAACTTGCACACATATTGTGATAAGAATATGGAAATTACTCACCAGAAAAGCATTGGCCAGCTGCTTAATAATGATGAATTTTGAGTTAAGCAACAAAAAAATAGGATAACTTTTGTTCATCCTCTCTTTTGTATACTCCACAACAGCAACTATTCTCACCTGATAATATTTTAATCCTCTCAGAATGGAGAGCAAAACCAGCATGGCGTTTCCTTTCCACTCTTTGGAAAACTCATCTATGAACTACAGGTTTTGAACTGATAAAAAAAGATCATTCGAATCACATAAAATAATGTCATGTGCACTATTGTGAGTGTTGCCCTTTAGCTACTGGTTCGTATCTGCCATTATCTATAACCTCAAACAGGAACTGGGAACTTAATGCAGCATGAGTAAGAGGGGAGTTATGCTCCCAGAATTAGGAAACGGCACAACATGCAAGTCTTACAGGTAATAGTTATATGGCCTACATGGTCAAAAGGGCATGTGCTCTGCTGGTGCTACAGGCCTGCAAAATGCTATTTTGGATAATACACCAGGATTTCTAGATGAGAAAAATGACCAGATTTCAGAAGAATTTCCCGTTCCTGTTATTGTTCCACAGAAAGGGAAGGTATAGTCAGAAGAATCCAAATTCTTATGTAAAATATGAGCATTTGGAATATTTAAAAGTCTTGCCTTGACCTTTCCAAAATGGTAATGTAGATTAATGTTTCATTTCTTAAGAACATTTTGGTTCCCTGCTGTTGTTAATACCTTGCTGAAGGCTTAAAATAAAAATCTCTTTTCTTACCAGAGCTTTCTTCCCTGTGTTATGTGCTCTGCCTTTCTTACTGTCTGCTAGTTGAGGACTGGGCTGTTCAGAGTGGAAGAAGAAAGATATCAATTCCATGGAAAAGTCCAAAAATGACAGAGACCTCAGGATTAAAGAAAAAACCAACGGTTGACTGAATTTTGATCCAAAGAGATTGGAAATATTGAAGTTAGGATATAGCTTCTGTTTTGTCTTGAGTACTATCAGCAGCTATTCAGTTTCATTTTGTGGTGGTAACTCAAATCAATGTTTATTTTATGTCGGCATCACCCCAACCATCATTTGTTTTTCAAAAACTTCTCACCCAGCCTATCAAAAATACAGGGCATCTCAGAAATGAGAATCTAGACTCCATAACTGGAGAAACCCAAAACCTCTCTTTGCAAAATGCAGATGCACATATCAAGACTGATATACTACTACAGTAATAGTACCTCGAATAATGCATGTTGCACATGTGTGAGACTTTCCAAGACCAGAACCATATATTGTATATTCACTGTGAGACCATTCACTCCCAGTATACTTCTTCAGCTAAACAGGAACTCTTACTACGCTTAGAACAATGTTTTATTCTATCTTTGTTAATTTAATATCACCAAATGGCCAATGTTGTATTCACCTGTCAGAGAAACACATCATCTGTTCCATGCCATAAGACTAAGCCCGATCACAGGCTAAATGTTCCATGTTTAAGCTTAAAAAGACAATAGTAGTAGAAAGACCAAAGGAAGTACATCACATTATTATTACACATTTTTGTTGTACCACTTTGCCTGGAGGCTCCAACAGTCTCATCATTTCTTTCTGAATATCCAGAACTCTTTCTATGCCCTGAAATTAAACAATAGTAATCTTCAAAAGAAAGATAAATTATTTCATTTTTGCAGCTTAAATCAGAAGAGAGAGAACACTTAATTCTAAATGCTAATCTTAACATAGCCTTTTTTTAAAAAACCTATTATAGACTTCCCTAACACAATCCCTCCACCCACAAAATGCAGTCAAGTGTCCAATGAGAAAGGGTTAGTAGTAGCGGAATGCACAGAAACATTTGATCATGCTGCTGAATGGGATAGCAAGAAAAGCGGTTTCTTCTTCCCCAAAAGGAACTCTTCCCAAATCTAACAAGTGGTACCTGGTTCTGTGTAATGTCCGAGATTATGTTCACAATTGTGACTCTATCTATGACTTCCTAACTGGAAACTCTGACAAAATTGAATGTATTTACCTTTAGAACATTTCTACTAAGCAGGGAAAAAAATCACTGTCTTCATTTTAAACATTGGGAAATGGAGAAACACTCCAATTAAATGGATCCATTGCTTTAATGCAAGACTCTTTCCTTTACAGCTGAGTTAGTAAAGGTTTCATGCTAACTTTGTGCATCACGTTTCAGATTTTCTTAAACTGTGCCAGTAAAGCAATACCGAAGGGGGCAGAAGTCAGTCACAGCTGACAACACATCAGCTCAGGACGAATGGCTACGATTTTTGCACTGCAGCAAACAGATTGCTGCTCTCCCATGAGCACTAGGAGGCATTATGTCTTTGAAAGGTACAGAATTAGCAACCTTATTAAGAGCTCTTGGTGACAATTCTAAAAAGTTAAAGGAAAAGGAAAGAGAATCGAGATCAGCTGTTTGTTCAGGTCACCAGCCAAAAAGCAAAAATCACAGCGCTAATGTAGGCATCTTCTGCAGATATGTTCTTTAATGCAACACGTGGCTAAACAAAAAGAGAGGGTTGATGCAGTTTTTCCTGCCTCTTTTGTTCTGTTTTGTATACCCTTCTACCTTCACAATTTCATTTTTAAAGCAATTTATTCCAAAAGATTCTATGCTTTCCTGTGAATTTGTTATAAGTTTTGTTGGTTTGTATGTTCTATCAATCAACATCTACTAATGTAAAACCACATTCTAAACAAAATCTCTTGTTGTGTAATGCAATTCCCCTACATCATCTTCAATGCACTGATTTTTTACTCTATACTAACACATACATTTTTAACTTGAAACCTTCATCTGTATTCTTTTAAATCTTCATCTACTACTACTTTTAATGTTCCTTGTGTTAGAATTCTGCACTAACATTTGCCTTGCAAGCAAACAAAAAAGGAAAAATACAGTTTGTAAGGTCTATATTGGAAAGATCTATATACTTATGTATATATATGGTTTATACTAAGTCTATAGAATACATTTATAAAAACAAAAATGAAACAATACCTGTTTGAGTGATACCTGAACTGGTGGTATCAGCATAACTTCTTTCACTAATTTCAGTTTTGCAGGTGAAATTTTTTCACAGTTCAACAGAGTAACCATTGGGAGTGGTAGAGTCATTTCTTTAGGTGAAACCTGTAATTGGGGGTACCACATGAAATGAAAAATGTTAAAAATCAGAATAATTTCTCATATATTTTTACTGTGGCACAGGGTTCAAAGACTGCTACAAGCAATGGTCTTAAGGGTGTATTCTATGGGGTATATTTAATACCACCGCCATGAGGGACTAGCAGCTTCAGAATTCTAGAATAATTGTGGTAAGTGGGATAAAATAAACAAAATTACAAAAGTGACATGTACCTGATCATGTTTTAGCAGTGCAATATGTAAGTACAGTGGGATATGGCTAATGGTGGCACCAGCCTTAGCTATAGCAAGTGATGTTCCCCCAATGGCTAAGCTGCCACAAAGCACGGATTCAACCGGTTCTGCAGGTGGGATTGTCCTCTCTGCAACTGACATCTTCTGTCCTACGAGACAGAGTAGTAGCTAAGTATTTTCTTGGTTTAAAACATGAGTTTATGTATCACAGTTATATGAGTAAATACGATATTGTCATTTCAGTATGTACTCAAGGTACTACAAAAGAATCAGTTCTCTTTCTAAAATTTAATCTTGTCAGTTGTTTTATATGAAATGACCTTACAAGTAAGCAAAATATCTGTCCTCACTCTGGTGTCAAATGTATTTCAAATTCATTTCTTTTGGAGATCTTTCAGCCACTGAAATCTCTATTTTTATTTATCTATGTTTATATCCAGTAATGTTATTCATTTTTCAGGTTCCTTTCACAGGCATGACTTCAGTATTCTTCATCATCCTTCTTAGACGCTCAGCTTTTGCATAGACAACTTGGAAGATTACATTATAACCTGATTGGGAGTACACATACTTGATTTCTTTTAAAAATGACTGTGAAAAAAATGTAGGCCTACTACCATTAAACTTTCCAATGAGAAAAGAGGTCTTTTAAATATTCCACATGCATAGTCTTGTTAAATTTTCAAAAAAACTTATTTCTCTTTCAGATACAGTAGAGTAACTTTTGTCCAAATTCCTGAAACCCAGCAGTTCCCACTGTCATATTTCTTGCCTACCATGCTTACATGAACATGTACAGTAAGAACCCAACCGAAATAAGTGATCTGATTCTCAAGAATTATATGCATTGAGTACTTTTTTGTAAATCTGACCAATAGATTAACACATAGTTCCTAAAAGGAGTGCCACACAGGCTTTGATTTCAATAAAATATAAATACTACATGATACGTATGAAAATGTTCTTAATAGAAACTTAACTGGACATGCAGATTAGATTATACATCACTTGCATACCATACACAGGTTCTACACCTCTGACACGGAGAACGAAGAGTTACACACATAGATGCAACTCTGACAAACTGCAGTGTTTGGCAGAGATCCTTACACTGCACTGCTTTGTAACCTGCATAAATCCCAGCACAGGTGCTACCTCGGAAAGCACTTGCTACTGGAAGTCACTGTCTGTTAATGGTCCCCTGAAAGAACAAGTAGCTTTATAATGATTGGTTCCTACAGTCAGGTATTACTACAGTTAATGTCACAAACAAATACAAAGAAAACACAAATATTGAAAAGAAGCAGTACGTGTATCAGCAGAAGCTTGACTAGAAGTGTAACATTCAACATGACGTTATCTGGATGGACCTGACAACTGCAGATGTCACATTTCAGGCCAAAGGTTAATTTTCTGATTTTCTGTGCACACATCTTTTTTTTTTGGGGGGAGGGGTGTACTGACAGTATATGACCATTGAAACTAAACTGATAAGAAACAATAATTTGCCAAAATTTTCTGCCGTTCCAATAACTGATAATTTTTTTTTTTTTTTTCTGAGAGTAAGGCATATATGGAGGTAACACATGGTATTTTTTTCCTTCGGAGTTTTCTTTTTTAGCCACATATACTTACCCTGTTTCTCCACTCTCACACTATTTTTTCCTTTAATAGCATTGTTTGCGTACTTCTTTGTACTGCACATCATTCCCATCTCATCCCTTCTTCTTTCTCTTTTAATTTCACCTTATTTCCTCCTTTTCTCAGTGTTAGCAAGAAACTTCCCTCCCTCCTCCTTTTAATTCTTTTCAACTTCTATCCTAATTCTATTTCTGTTTTCCTGTTCAGTTCTGTGATTCCCTTTTCTTTCCTTATCATTTTTATTCTTCATTTGCATCCTCCTCCATTCTTATTCCTCACTCTGAAGAGTAATAACCTCCTGCCTAAGCCAACTGTAAAACAAAGGCAGAAACTCTGTTCAACCAATGCACGTGAGTGATGAGGAAACTCTGTATTTTCCCCTCTCTCATTTCGGCAGTAGAAACTGCTGTGATCAGAAAGGTTTAGGAAAGAGTAACCAAACTGTTTGAACATGAGACACTCTCTTGTGTTCTGAAGTATTCAGTGTCCACAGAATACTTCAGAAAGTATTTTAGCACCTTTATCAATATCCATATTGCAGAAAATATTAAAATCAAATAAACTAAAACCTGGCTTTCCTGCTTTTTTTTTCCCAGGTAACGTTGTTGCTGATTGAGTGCACGAAGTGGCAAGAGTGGCTTCTGCTTCTTCTTCTTGCTTTTGAATTTCTTTTTTTTCTTCTACCTTTTTTGCAAAGTATTCACTGAGGGAAAAGGCATAAAGATTACAGGCTCAAAACATTGTTAGATGTGTGACAAGCAGACACAAGACACGGGCTAAAGAACATGCTAAGAGGTGGATTAAGGGCATCTATTTGAGCTTGTGTCATAGACTCATTGTGTGAAGCTGGAAAAGTCAATAAATAACATTATTTTTCGGTAGTCATCTGCAGCGTTGGTTAAACAAAAAGAATCCCAAGCAAGTATTATAAACCTTAACACATGCTTTCCAAGTCACACTGGTTTGAAAGTCAGCTCTGTGCAGACAACCTCAGCGTGAAGGATGGATTTGCTTTGCATGGGTAGTAAGGGATCCTGTCAGAACTTCATGACACACAACAGCTTTGCCCAGGTTGCCAAGCCAATAGGTCAGTTGTGCACTGGTTATCTACGTGGCCGCAAGCTCAGAAGTGGCTGAATTTCAATTACATGACATCTTCCCTGCCCATGGCAGGGGGGTTGGAACTAGATGATCTTTGAGGTCCCTTCCAATCCAAACCGTTCTATAATTCTATGATACATGCACGAAGTGGAAACTGCATTCATGGGTCACAGTCACCCAATTCAGGCAAACTGAGTATGTAAGATATATAAAGAAGTGTAAATGATGTATTAAAATCTTATTCAGACTCACTTCAGTTGAAAGAATTTCTTTCCAATTGAGTCCTTGTTCCCTTCATCAAAGTTTCCCCAAAGCTAATGCATGTGGAAGGAAATTAGGTCTGTTGGCCACAGTCAGTGTTAAGTGTGGCAGCCCAACCAGTTCCTCTGTGTGATGCAGTGTCGTTCCCCTCAGTGATGTAGCTGAAAGAAACACTTCCAGCTACAGAAGAGGATGACAGGCCATACCACTGCTTCCAGGGTGAAGAAAGCCATAATGTTGCCAGGTAACTCCTCTAAGGTTACCATAAAAATACATTCAGATACATCTGTGATACTTTTAACTTACGTCTTTTTTTCTGATAAAAACCAGACTTATTTCTTTGAAGTGAAGAATACGGCCACTCTTTTTCACTTTGGGACGCTCTCAAGAATGTTTGTATGAAAAAATAAACATGGATGTTTAATAAAAAACTATGTTTCCAAAGAAACTAATTGGCCCAAGTAAGAGGCCTTTTGGAGCAGCTTGCTCAGAAAGAAGACTCCACCAGAACCTTAAAACTGTTTGTATATACATGTTTCCTGCGGATTAGCTCAATGCAGAAGACACACACAGCCTTTGGTACCACTTGTGTTCTGCAGTGCGATGAACAGAAGTGGAGTGGCCGTCTGAAAAAAACATCCTCACTGGATTAAACTGGCACTGAATGAGTTTCTTAAAGGGAGGCTTTGACTAAAGAACTTGTTCAGGCATTTTTTCCTTAGGGACTCTTATTTTTGAATCTCATATATGAAACCTTGTAAAAAACAGCATGATTTTCATATCGTAATTATGAAAAAAGTAGGAAATAGCGCAATGTATCTGAGATCACATCCTAAAACTATATATAAAAAATAGTAGAAAACTGAATTGAAATATTCTATATGTTTTTCATTTACAATATAAATCGACAGTGTATATTTCAAATGCAGTAATTTGCATAATATGCAAGACCTACCCAAGCACCTTATCAACTTTACACTGGTCAGTAGGCTCCAAGTCTCTTAACATTGCGTTCAGTGACTCATTGACCCATTCCACAGCAGTGTTAACAGAGTCACTTTTCTCTTTCTCATCAGATTCAGTTGTTTCAGGTAAAGCGTTTTCAGGTATTTGAGAATGAGAACACATCACAGTGGAACAAATCCTCTGCAAAAAAAATGCAAAAAGTCTTAGGACACTATTTAATTTCTAAATTGTAAATGTCATTTGAAAGACTAAGAAGTATATGTCCTTACCAACTCTACAGGTACCTCTCTCCAAGTTTACTGTTTGCTCCACTTATCTTTTTCCATCCAGCACCTTCTTCCTAGTCTCATATACTTTGGTAACCACAGATGTTATTCAAGTTTCTTGACCTAAATTATAACTACTTAGGCAAAAACCTCCTGACAGATCTGCTTTGCACATATATTTTGTTATCAGAATAGAATGGAGCTATTTTAAAGACCATACAGTCACTAGGACATCTTCTACTGCAGCTGTTGATGGCCTGTTGTACCATGATTCATCAGCATTCATGCTTAATGCTATCCCTCATCATCAGCAATATTTTGTCTTAACTGGGTAATTAAAACTTACCTTTCTGTACTGCTGAAGAATAAATGATACTTAAGGAAACTCACTTAATGAAGACATCATTTACAAATATCACAGTTGCCTGCATTAGTAATATCAACTCTACACGCTGTGAAGATCTATGAAATTATATTTAACTCAAGAACGAAGTGAACCATAGCTTAACTCGGAAAAAGTAAAAATAATTACTCCATAACAGCTAAATTTGCAAAGACAGTATCTTGAATATTCCAGGTTAAGGGACAGATGGCAATGCACCATCAATTTTGCATTGCAGATGCTAGGTGGACATGTTTGGCTTCAGTATCACCCATATCAGCCTCTTAGCTCAGGGTAAAAAAGTGCCTTCATCAATACTGTGTTTTTCACCTGTACTGTATTTTTCTGAAACACTGTCATACAAACAGAAATACAAGGATCTGAAAATAAAATAAAACAGGGAAATGATCTTACAGGGCTAGATATGGGGTGTAAGGGAAAGCTACATGATCATTAAGACAGACAAAAATTCAATATACAAAGATGCACTGTCACATTCCACTCAAAAAATAAAGACAAGTACTGTCTAATTCACCAAAAATAAAGTGTTTATAGTTGCTGCCACTGTCTAACTTTACATGACAGGCTTTTTTCTAAGTTACAACACTCAACTGTTGTCTGAGTCACAGAGATTGATATCCTTTCATTAAAGATGGAAAATGAAACGTTCCTTACGATGTGAGTAGAATAGTACCTCCCCCTGATACTGTCTTATTAAAATAAAATAAATAAAAAAAACAACAGGAAGAAGCAGCTCATACCTTCTCACAGTTTTTAACTGTACAGTATATTTCCACTTCTAATGTTGGCTGACCAACTCCATCGAGAACTTTTCTTCCAACTAAATTGCATATTACTGGAGCTTTTGAAAATTTAGAAAAGTAGTTAGCCTTAAATGAAAGAGAAAGAACTTCATTAAAAGACAATTTCTATGCAAAGAGGTTTTTATTCCATTAAATATATTTCAATCAAATCCACCGTTGAGAAAAGCCATTTATACGTCCCAATGTTCAAAATACTTCTGTTACACTGCACGTTTACTTCTGTGTTATCTGCTTGAGAATGAGGTTACAGAGAACAGATCCCAAAATGGAAGTCCAAAGCCACATCCAGGTTAGACAAATACGAGTTTTATTTGGCAAAGTTAGTGACGAGTATCACAACCTCCTTAATCCTCCTGGAAAACAGGAATTTGTCCAAAGCTTTCTTGGCTTTACAAACTATAACAAAAATAGTCATTGTGCTACTCATGAAACTCATTCCTATTAGAATCCACATATCCTCCCCTGTGCAGTGAGCTGCTATAAAATGATTTTGTCTGTGGATAAAATCTTGAAAAAATACATGTCTCTATTCTCTCAAAAGGAGAAAAGAAAGATACTGGACAAGAAAAACTCTTAGGAATCCATACAGAACTCTGCTACATCCTAATGTTATATTAAAATTCCTGTGGCATGCTTTCATTTATTTATCTATTAACAAGTAGTTATTAAGCTTTAGAATAATATTGTAATTTTTTTTCCCTAACAAAAATAATAGAAACAATCTTTAATCAAAATCCTCCTGCTCAGAAAAAGTTCTCACGTGAAATGCTACGCATAAAATTTTGTATGTGCTGCAAACAGGGAAAAATGGAAAGTATTTTCAGAATCCACTTCTGGCTTACAGAAAGTACTTAATTCTAGATATCTAACTATGTTTCAAGGCCATTTCATCAAATACATATGTACATATGTCTCAACACTCAACTAATGCAATATTAAAGATCTTCATAGCAGAAGATTTAATCTGGAAGGAGGAGAAGTTTTTCTGCAAGTTCCTCAATGACAATGACAACCACTCCTTTCATAGACTCCTCTCCTACAGAACAGACTTGATGGAAGGTTATTCCAAACTCTCCTAATTAGAAGTGGTTTTTTGGTTGGACAGCACTGAGCTAACAGGGCTGGCACAATTTTAAGGAGTTGTGGGTATGCCACACACAGTAACACAACACAACTGATGTAGCTAGGGGTCATGACTCCACAGGAAATCTGGAATTTTGGGTTAGCAAGCTTCGAGCCCAGTCAGAAAGGTGAAAATCTAGACTTCTGGCAGGCAGAGTTCTCTTACTTCTTCCAACATGGTCTTTAATGGGCCTGTTGAACTGTCACCATCCAACTATGAGAATATATCTGGGGCTCTGTTCGTATTTATTAAACACTGATGTTGCTTTTAAAAGAAGGATTAAGTTGCTACCTGAGGTTTACTACATACTTCCTTACTAATTTCTTTCTTTAGTCTGGTATAGAGATGGTCACCAAACCATGTCTTACCAAACAGGAAAACTAGGAAACACCTACAGCTATATGGAAGAGGATCACACCAAACACCAAGCAAAGCAAGAGGTATTACCAGTCCTGGTCCCTTCCACTGGCAATGGCAAAACAGTTGGAGATGGGAAATGGTGTAAAAATTTTTTTACATTGAGGCTGGTGAGGCACTGGAACAGGTTGCCCAGAGAAGTTGTGGGTGTTTAAAGCCAGGCTGGATGAGGCTTTGGGCAACCTGGTGTAGTGCAGGGTGTCCCTGCCCATGGCAGGGGGGTTGGGACTAGATGACCTTTGAGGTCTCTTCCAACCCAAACCATTCTATGATTCTATGTAATGCTATGTTTCATTTCCACAGCCATTTTCACATCAAAGAACGTAGGAGAAATTATTTTTTTCCAAGAGTTGCTCACTATTGTATTGTTGACAATTCCAGTATCACTACTAATAGAGCTTTCATTAGGACTACTGGCCACAATATTTTGCCAACTGGGAACAGATAAAATCGGTCTGATTCTGGACACTTCCACTGAGGCCATTTGCTTTAAGAGCTGCAGTGTGAACAGCACCCAGTCTCTTGTTGCCACTGGGCTGAGACATCACCACGCTGAGCAGCACTTTCATCAAGGACGTCCATCGGTGCCCTCATAAGGTAACACACTTTGTTTTAGTGTTGAGATGAGCAACCAGCACAGGACAAAGAGCCCCGCTGCTGCGGAAAAGTATGTGTCCCAGGGTCAAAGCGCCACTGGTCACAAACACAAAACCATCGCAGGCCTGGCCCGAGTCATCGGGAAATTATTTAAGCTCAATTGCAACCAGAGGCATCGAGATCCTCGCACCAGCCTGTCGGCTGATCGAACCCTTGGGGCGG